TAATATACATGTAATTTGAAGTTGGAATAATGTAACATTAATTCCAAATGGTGTTTTAGGTAAATCTTGTGCTTGATATACATCACATATATTTGATACAATATTTAATTTAAATAATACAACAGAACAACCATATGGAATCATATCACTATCTTCACATATTACAACATCTACATAACCTGTTCTGGATAAATACGCCATCTGTGCATCTGCTCCATAAGGGGCAACAATACATTGAACTCCTCGTTTATGAAATGCATTAATTACTTTTGATGCATGAAATGGAGTAATGTCTATTGCTTGTTTCCAGCAAATTAATGCCTCAATTTGATTTCCTTCTTTTTCATATTTCAAAGCATTTGAATAGGCAGATTTTCTTCGTTTCAAACGTTCTTCTTCAATAAGTTTTTTTGAGGGTAAAGTTGCACCATCAAAAACAAAAATTGGTATAATTTTGTGTATATTAAAGAATTTGAGATATTCTAACATTCCATTTACAATGAAAAAGTAATCATTATTCACTACAACTTGTCTTGGGTTTCTTGTAGCAATTCTATGAAGTAAAGCATATCCATCAATAGCAGCTTTTTTATTTTTAAATTTATCAATTGATGATTTATGGATGATTGATGAAACAAAAGGAAGGAGTTGTTTTATTCCCATTATGTAAAGAAGTGTTAGATTATAAGATATTGATTGTTCAATTAGAAATGAAATTGTCAAGTTCTAGTATAGTATAATTCTAATAAAATCAAACAAAAATGATAACAATAAACTAAAAAAAAAAAAAAATAGAGATTTCATTTTGTTGAGAATGGTTTGTCTCATTTTTAAAAAGAAGAAAGATATTTATTTGATATAGCACGGAGTAACTAAAGCAGAAAAAATACAGATTGAGGCAGCAAAAGAAACACAAAATAAAATTAAAATATTTAATGAATTAAAAGAAAAATATAGAAATAAAACAGGAAGTCTTGAAGAACAATTAAAAATTAATTCAGAATTACTTAATATTTCATCACAGGATTATCAGTATTGGAATGAAAGGAAAGAAATGATAGAAGAATTATTAAAGAAAGAAAAGAATGAAATTGATAAGATTTTATCAAATGAATTAGAATTAACAAAGAACCTTCTTCCAAAAAATTCCAAATCATATGTTATTTGGTATCATAGAAAATGGAGTATTTCTAAAATGGAACATCCTAAATTTGAGATAGAAAGAGAGTTATGTGCTAAAATGATTGAAAAAGATTCAAGAAATTGTTTGTTAATTTTAATATCTCTATATAAAATAATAAAAAAAAACACTTAAATAATAAAATAGTTCATTGTTGGGGATATTATTTATGGATTTTAGAACAAGGAAAAATAAGTCAAGAAGATGATTTAAAATTTATTACAAATACAATTAATAAAAATTTTAGTAATTATAGTGCATGGCATCATCGTAGTGTTATCTTTAGTTCTTATAATAATTTACAATTAGAAAAAGTTATTGAATCAGAATTTGAATTATTATTAAATGCATTTTATATTGAACCAAATGATCAAAGTGGATGGATTTATTATAGATGGCTTCTTGGTACTGGAATGAAATGTTATAATGAATTAAATAAAAAAGAAGAATGGATAAATATTTTAAAAGAACAATTTAATAAAATTAAAGAATTAAATGATATAGAACCAAATTCTAAATGGGTAATATTTACAATGATTGAATTATATCAAATTACTAAGAAAATTGATAATACTATACAATTATTAAGTGATAAAGAAGTAAAAGATTTTATAAAAATATTACAAAGAATTGATAAAATGAGAAGTGGATATTATAAAGAACTTGAGAAAGATTTAATATTAATTCAAATTTAATTTAAAATTTAAATTTTTAAATAAATAAAAAAGATTTAATCAATCAAAATAATAATTATTATTTTCATTACAATTAGTTAATATTTGTTAAAGTATCATAAGATTGAAGAAATAATTGTAATCCTTTTATTTCTTCATTTTTAATAAGAGAATTTTGAATTAATAATCTAATATTATTTATTTCATTTATTCTTTCTTTTAATAATTTTCTTCCTTCTAAAGTTTTACTTAGCATCATTAAAAAGGTAATTCTTGCTTTAGTTGGTTTTTGAAGAGCTTCAATAATAAATTCTTTAAATCTTGAATATTGAGAAATTAATAAAATATCATATCCACTCAATGCTGCTAATGACATAAAAAAACTTTCACTTACAGTGTCATGTTCTTTCTTTATATTTTCTTCTATCATTCCAAAGAATTCACCATATCTACGAATTTCATCAGCAAATGGTTTATTTTTATTCATAAAGAATGCTATTTTACAAATACAAAGATGTCTTATTTTATCAGACACTACATTTGATAATACACATACTTTTAATATAGATTTAACAGCTAAAATTCCACTTTGTTTAGTTGCTTCTTCTAATAATACAGGAATAAGATTTTCATGTTGGTTTTTATAACATTCAATAATTGCTGATGAAAAAGGAACATCTTTAAGTTGAATGAAATAAGATAGAACAAAGAAATAAAAAGGAGTTGAAATAAATTGAAGAAGTTGATTTGGGTCTGTAGAGAATAATGGAGAATGAATTAATTGTAATATTTGAATGAAATGGTGTTGATATGGTGATTGTAAAAGATTAAGTAATAATGAATTTAACTCTTTATTATTAATATCAGCAATAAAGAATTGAATTGGAAATTCATTTAAACGTGATGTTATTAATTCTTTTCTATCTAATCCAAATAAAGCATCAAGTAAAGGATGTTTATGAAGAGAAGGTCCAAGTAAATGTTGAATAAATTGATAGATTAATTTAATTTCATTGTTTTTAAATACTGATTTTAAATAAATTGATAATGGAATAATAGTTTTAGGAATAGGAATATCTTCTGGATTAAAATGAAGAAGTAAATTAATAGTATTATTTAATAAATCAGGATAAGGAAGTGTAAGAGCATTAACAATAAAAGGAATAATTTGTTTAATATCTGATTGAAGATAATAAAATGCTGAATTTACTTCAGATGAAAGACACATTACTTTCTCAATAAATATTAAATATTTTGAATAATTTTTAATTGCTTGATTAGGTTCTTTATTAATTTTATTTAATTCACATGGTGCATAATAATTGATTATGAAACTGTAATGAATAAAATATTCTTTTAAAATTATATTATGAACAGATTCAAGAAGAAATAATATTTTTGGGTCATTTTTGTTAGTTTCAATGTAATGACAGAATGTTGAGTACATCTCAAATAGGGTTGATTCAATTAATTCTTTTTCTTCTAAATTATCTTTATTAACAATAATATTGAAATACCATGTATTAATTTTATTTAATGACTCAAGGTCAATTGGGTTATTAGAAGTACATTGTTTTATTATTTGTTGGATAGTAGTATGTAAATTCTCCATGATAATAATTTATTAGTTTTTTTTTAATTATACTTTTTAGTTTTTATTTATTATTCAAACAACATTATATTATTGAACTCAAAAGATCTCATTGATTTGAACCAAGACTATTGAGATGATGATGATGCAAAATCCACATTATTCGGAAACACCAACTTATAAAGAAGAAGAAGAAAACACAATAGATAGACTTGATTATATAAGAGATGAATGGAAGGAAGATGAATCTATCAGTCTTAATGGAAAAAGTATGAAAGGAGAAGTGATATCATTAGGACATACTAAAGATGGATATTGGATAGAAATAGGAGAAGGAGAAGAATATTATCTCATCTGGTTTAAAAGAGAATTGTTTTCATCAAAAGGAAGATTGTTTGGTATTCCATTTATGAAAGTAGCTAAACCACAAATGAGAGTTATTATTAACAATATATTAGTAGAAGATTATGAAATTTCAAAAAATGAAAAAAAGAAAAAGTATTTAATTATTCATCTTCAGAGTAATGAAACAAATAATACAAAATGGTTGTTTTATAATCAAGGAATATATCTACTTGAATATAAAACAAATGGAGAATTTAATCAAGGAAATAAATACATTATGAATCAACAAGAAGTAAAATTTATTCAAAATATTCATTATAATAAACCAAGTAATGAAATTAATTTCATTACACAAGATACTAATAAATATCTTCGTCAAGAAGGAATGTTTTTTGATATTATTGGTTATGTCATTGACATTATTTATTTAGAAAAAGATAATATACCAATAAACAAAATAGTAATGATTATTGGGTTTGATCCATCTGAAATTAAAAATATTATTAATTCAATTAGTAAAACTAATTGGTTTGGTATGAATTATTTAAAGAAAATTTGTCAATCAGTATCCTTTAAAACTAAAATAATTGATACAAAATCAATGCTTAATAAATGGGTATTAATAAAAAGTATACAATTTAATAAATATTCATCTTTTATAACACTTGACTATAGATTGATAAAACAACTTGAACCAACTGACTCAGAAGTTATTAATAAAATAAAAACAATAATAGAAGATGGATTTAAAAGTGATATTGAGACTGGAAAATTTATTGCAATGCAATTTACTAGTCAAAAAGAAATAAAAGAAAAGATTTTAAAATCATTTGAAAGTAATAAAAGAATTCAACATATTATCCAAAATAATGAAATTCAAAAAGAAACTAGTTTAGATTATAAGGAAATTAAAGAAACATCAATTGAAAAAGAAAAAGAATATCTTCCAAGTTATGTTTGTAATGAAACAATTCAAAAACAATTTGAAGAAGAAGAAGAATGTTATATTTTTAGTTATAGTGAAGATGATTTAATATTTAATGCAATGCCTGGAAGATGTTGTGATGTTAATGATGAAATCTTTAATAGACCAGTAATTCAACTTGATTTTAAACACATTTCTGATCCTAATAATTTAGAATTGTCTAATAATGTTAGTAAAGAATTAGATGAATTTATAACTAATTCAAATGAAACTGATGAAATAGATGAAAACACTGAAAATCAAAATCAAATAAATGTATTACCTAATTTAGTTATTACAAAATCAAAAGACCATAAAACAGATCAAACTGAACATGAAATAACCAGAAAACACATACCATGTTCAAAAGAACATCTTTTACCAACATTAAAAAGAGTCATATAATTGATTTAATTGACTAAACCACTTTTATTTATTTATAAATTATTATAAAATGTATCTAATCAATGTTTGTTTATTTCTTTAACAATACTTTGATTATTAGTACAATACTTTATATCATTATTTACTTACTTTTAGTTAATTATTGGAATAAAACTTGGTTTCTTCAATAATACAATTTAATCTTTTTTAATCAAGACCTTATTCTTTTTAATCTATTCTTTATTTGATTAAATTCTAAGACTATTCTTTATTCACACTGATTTATTATTTATTGAAGATATTCTGACAATTTATTAAGTATTCTAATACCAAAACATGCATTATTGATTAATCCTTTGATTGAATTTAGTTATTAGTAATAGTTAATAATCAAACAAATATTGTTTTGACATGCTGATTAATGATAATTTGTTTATGAATCTAATAAAAATATTTCTTATTATTTCAGTATTATCAATTTAATTTACACAACATATAAATTAATATGTTGTTGTGTATTTCTATATAAAACAATACCACCAGTTTATTTTTTATTAGAATATTTAAATTATACAAACATATTGTCATTGTATGCATCTATGAAGTAAATTCAAATGTACCTTCAGGAATTATTTTATTCATAGTGAGGATATTATTATTTTGACAAATAAATAAATCTGATCAAATACAAAAATACAAGAAATAACCATAATACCATTTTAAACTAATTAGTGGTACTACGCCAAAATGATAACCAAATAGCTCCATTAAAATTCTCGGTTTCATTATTATGGTTTTAAAAAAATTGAAATATTCCTTCTCTTTCAATGTAGAAATGTATAATTATTCTTTTTTTTTTTTAACTCTCTTATTGTGAAATTATGATTTACTTAATGTAAATGATGGATGATTAGTGGTTGAAATAGTGTCAATATAAACATAAAAAGTTTTCAAAGTATTTAAGTTACTAGAAGAGGTAACAAGGTTTAGATAGACCAATTCATGCCTTTTCTCATTTCAAAACATAGTAATTTGAATTCAAAATATTAACTTAGTTTATTCTTTCCATAAATATTGTTCAGCCTCTTCATCAAGACACTCAATATCTTCATCATCTTCTTTTTCATAATCTAACAATTCAAGTACTTGTTCTTTTTTATTTTCTTTGAGTAATCTTTTTATCTCATTTGGTTTGTATTTGTTCTCTTTTAATGAGTCTTTGTATAAAACCTTTTGGTTATTGTCAGTTGCTGTTTGATAAGAGTTATCAATTATAGAAAGTGAATTACTGTAATAAATAATGGCAGTTTCATCTTGATCAACAGGAATTTTTATTGCTCCACGTTTATTGTTTTTATTTCCATATCCAGCAAGAAAGTCATTAAAGAATATATAATCTTGTCCTGTTCTGATTTCAAGATTATATTCATTATCTACTATTCTTTTTTTATCTCCAATTAATAAATTTAAAATGTGTTTTATACTAGATTTAAGATCTAGTTTATTTAAGTTTTTACTTTTAAGTACATACACACCATGCTTTAAGAAATAATTATAGTCACCATAGTCCATTTCAAAACATCTCATGACTTGGCATTTTAACTTCTTTAAACCATCAGTCAATTCTAGGACATATGGTCTAGTGTTATATCTTATTAAAATCTTTTTATAAGAAGTATTACTATCCCGACTTTTAATCAATCCATGCTCTTTCAAATAATAATCATCCATTTTTGCAATTAATGGACTAGCAATTATTTTTTCATTATCATTCTCTATTGAAGTCATCTCATAAGCTCCAGATTCCAACCAAAATTTTGAATATATAAAACTAAATGGACAATTGATAGTACAATTACACCATCTATTAACAATTATGCATTCTACAATATTATGATTATACCACCTCATACTATTGTGTTGATTTTCTAATTCAAGGAAATCAAAAGCACATTCAAGATGTAATGTTACTAAGTTACATACTCCATTGAATCTATACTTTCCATTATATGAAATAAATTTAAAATAATTAATAACCTCGTTTATATTTATTAATTGTGTTTTAGATACTTCTTTAAATTCATTATCAACTATTCTAATATCACATTTTATTGAGATTCGTCTAATTTTCCAATCTTTAGTATCTTTCATCAAAATAATACACTTTGGTGCATTAATATTTAATTCTTCTAATTTAGAAGGAAGTTTTAAAAAAAATGTACATCCTTTATGAATTGTTATTGATAATTTAGAAATTATATAGTTATTTAAACACAATGACTTAATATCTAAAATATCTGTTTCAATAATAAGTTCTTTTATTCTATTTATTGAATATTTGTTTAATCTAAATTGGAATGTTTCTTCATCAAGAATACAATTATTAAAAGTTATAACTTCTTCACCTAACATAACTTTTTCTTGTTTAATATGATTAAAATAATGAATATTCTTAGTTTCTCCAATTCTATTGAAATAATTATCTACTACAATATTAATAACAACAAATGATTGTTGTTGAGAATATCTAACAATTAAATCAATACTTTCTTGATTAATCTTTTTGAAATATAACACTAAGATTTTTAAACTTTGTAAATGTTTTAAAATTGCAATATTTTGTTCATTAATATTATTAATTTGTTCAATAATAACTTTTTGAACATTTTTTAGTTTATAAAGAAATTGTATTTGAGAATTGTTTATTCTTACATTTAAAACCTTTTCAGATATTGTTTCATTTAATTTAGATATGTCGCATTGATTTTTTGTTGAATCGATCCATGTTATCATTTCAACTTCTTTACTTGTTAATAAATCTTGTGCTTCTAAAGCATTAATATATAAAGCACTAATATTTGGAATAACTTTTATTAAATATGGAAGATATGCCACCACATTATATGGATTAATATGAAGCATTTTAATAGCATTTTCACAATTCTTACTAACTTTTAGAAATAATTGAAACGTTGTTGTTCCTTTTAAGTATAATGCAACAATGGATAAATAAAATGGTTCTAATGTCTTCATTTGAGTTTTTAATAATGTTTAAAATCTTTTATAATCTCAATAAATAGTTCATTAAGACTCAAACTTAAAAATTAAAAAAAAAAACCATTAAAATATAATTATAAATAACTTCAACAATGATTATTGAAAAAACAAATTGAAACAGTGACATTATCTAATGTCTTTCTTTTGATTGCTACATCAACAAGATACCGTGCCATATCTTTTAAATTCTTTGGTAAACTTACTCCATCTTCATCAACTCCACTATCAAATTGTTCTTTTCCAAGAAACAAACGAATAATTGTTGTTGCATTTTCATAACTAAACACATCCCAAAATCCATCACTTGCAATAACTAAAAATTCTTCATCTCCTTTTAATTCTTTTTCAACAATAGATGGATCACATGTAACACATTTCTTTAATGGTTCATCTCCAATACTTCTTGAAACTCCTAATAATCCTTCAACTCTCCATCCATTGTTATTGTAAACTTTTCCCCCTGCTTCTTCAATCCTTTTCTTTTCATTTTCTTCTTTTGGAACATGTCGTGTTGATAATACTTCTGGTTTCATTCCTTTTCTACATAATACAATTTCTGTATCTCCAACATTTGCTGTTATAATATTTCTTTCAGTAATTAATGCAATTGCTGCTGTTGTTCCTGCATTAGCACTAAGTTTTTCTGCTAGTGGTTTAAATCCATTTTCTACAGAATAAATAGCATCACTAATGACCCTTTTCAAATTATTGGGAAAATCTTTGTGTCGAATAATTTCATTATATATTTTAAATGAACAATAATCAGCAGTAGATGTTCCTAAATGTCCATCAAATACTCCAAAAAATGCAATATTTTCTGATGTTTTATTACTAAGCATTCTCATATCTTCAACAAAAACATCAAAATCTTCCATTCTTTTCTTAGGTCCAATGCTTGAACTCCTTGAAAACCAGACCTTCCTCTCTACTTTTCTTTCACATTCTTTAATTTCTACATTGTTTAAAAGTTCATCTATTTTATTGGTTGAAACAAACACATTTCCTTCATTAAGTTCACCAATTTCTTCCCATTTTTGTGATTCCATTAGTCGTTGAACATCATCCCTAAAACTCATTGGAATACACTTTCCTTGATACTTCTTTAAATACCCATTAACAATTCTATCCTTAACATCAACTAACTTAATCGAATCAAGCCCAAGAACGTCTGATTGTGTTTTTTGAATTACATCTTGAAATTTTTTCATTTTGTCTTCTCGTGTTAATCCTATCATTCCAGCCATTCGAACTAACCCTCTTCGTGGAGCTGTTTTTGCTTTAGTTTTTTCTCTTTGACTATCATTTATTTCTTTTGCTCTTTCACTTAATGAACTATTACAAACTCTTTGTTCTTTTAATTGTTCTCTGCACCCACGAGTTAACTGTGTTGAAATACATCTTCCTCCTCTCTGTGTTTCTATTGGTCTTTGTCTTACACACCTACGTTTTACAACTTCTTCTCTAATCATTGTCTTTGCATTTAATTTTGGGATACAAACTGACCATTGTTTCATTTGGTGAAATAAATATAATACTGCTTCAACACAACTAATGGGACTTCTCTCTGGTGTTTTATCTCCTAACATTATCCCATTGACTTCCATAGCAGGGCACATAAACATAAGTGATTTTCGTGTTTTTACAAAACTTCTTGGTGAGTTTTGTATTGCAATTGCATTTTCGTTACATTGAATGTTTGGTAATTTCTCTTTTTGTCGAATTCTTTCAAATATTTGTTGTAAGAATGATTCATTTAATTCATGGTGAATAACAGAACAATCTAATCCATTATAAAGATTGAGATCATTTTCCTTTTTCCCTTCTTCTTCAGTACATAGTAGTGTAATTGAATGACCTTCCCTAATTAGAGGGAATATTTCATTTTGAAATTTCACTTCATCAGTTGCAATAATAACTTCAATTTCTTTTTCTTCTTTTTTATACGTTTTGATAAGTTCTGAAATAGATTGAGAGGGAACAGGAATAATTGTGTGGTCAGAGATGCAACTAGGAAGTCTCTCGAATTGATCCTCAATGATGATATCACTGTTATTAATTCGTATAACTGTAATTACTTTGCAATGAGACAAAGTTTTAGAAATTGAACTGAGGATTTTATTTATAATGTTTTGATTTTTCATATTAATGAAGATAAAACATGAAGATGGAACTTTTTCGTTTAGAGATAAGTAAGTGGTCATATAACCACAAAAATAAGAAATACGATCAGATACTATCGGAAGTAATGATGTTGATGAATTCATAAGAAAAGAAGATTTTCCTTCATCACATAATATTGAAGAACCTGGAAGAGATGATAATGTAACTAAAAATGAAGAATTTTGAGAAAGCATTCCTTGTGTACTTTTCAGGTAAACTGAACGTTCTAGTGTATTAGAAACTTCAGAAACTTCGAAAAAAGATGAGAATCTAGGGTGAATAGACATGACATTATTGGAAGTGATACTAAAGTTAATAGTTGTCATTTTGTGATCATTTTCGATTAAAGGCAATGTTATTACAAGACTAGGACAATCTGAAAAGTCAGAGATAATAAATGGGAAGGAAAGAGAAATAGGGACACAAACTATTAAAAGAGAACTCGGTGAATGAAGTAAATTTCAGGGTAAAACAATGGTCAGTTGATTGAAGTGCAATTAAAGCAAAATTAAAATAATCAAAAACAATTTGGTTTGGTTGATTGTTGATATAAAACCCAAATGATTTAGGAAAAATAATGAAAAGATGAGGAAAATCATTACTGAGAGTTACAGTTATTTGACAGTTCCAAATAGTAAGAGTAGAAGATATACACACATCAATATAATTTATTGTTACTAACTGACATTGACTCAAATACTTTTGAACTTCCAACCACATTTCCATTTCATTTAATTGTTTTTTTTCTTCTGAAAACAGGGTATCACTGAATTGAGAATAATAGAAACTCATTTTCTTTGGTAATCTGATTGTGGAAGTCATAGTCTCACACCTTTGATCTGAAAATAAGATTTCAGGAAGCCCTATTTTTAGTATCTCTTATTTTCTTTTATAGGTGATGTTGAAAGAGACATTCAAATTTTATCAAAGAAAAAAACATGAGATTGTTTTTTGTGAGTTTTGTTGAGTAATGGGATTTATTTTCGGGATTTTTCTTATTTCTTATTGACAGTTCCCGACTTGTTTTTTTTTTTGATTTAATAAGTAAATTCGTTTTATTTTTTATTATTTTCTGTGGTCTAAAAATACGAAAAAATTATAATTATTTTAATAATATTTCTATAAATACTTAATTGTATATTCGTTATATATAACATTAAATAATATGAAAACATTCAATTACCTGGACCAAGGACTCGTTTTCTGAAGTCACTTAAATCCTTTTCCCATTCTGTTGGAATGTCCATTTCCCCTTGGAACTCCCTAACCTTTGTTAATGTGATTAATCTCCTTCCCCAAGAATGACATAATACTTGAAGACTATTTGCAGCTAACTCTAAACAACCCATTACTTCATTTGGAAAATCTTTTCCACGATCTTCTGGAAAGATAGAAGGGAACCAAAAAACTAATCTTCCACCAACGACCAAATTTTGTGCAGCAAACAAGAAGAGGTCATGAAGTATTTGATCTATTCCATATTGAATTCTTTGAGGAATATGAGGATGATAGTCTTCTCCCCAAATGACTGGCTTAGGAACCATATCAGGTTTTCTTTTTCCTACCTTTTTTGCTCCCTCTCTAATGCCATAAGGTGGATCAGTAACAATACAATCGAACATTGGACGGACTTGTAATGAAGATAATGCAAAATCATTAGTAACTAATCCTAAGAAATGATCACGAAGATTGTAATAGTCAATATTTGTAGTAATATCCTTTAATGGTTTTCCCGTATTTTTAGTGTAATATGCTTTTGACCTCATAGCAACATTACTAATATCCATCCCAAGAACATATGATCCAAAATGAGCAGAAGTAACTAGTGTAGATCCAGTTCCAGTAAATGGATCACACATAACAGTTCCAGGTCTACAACAACCCATATTAGACATAATAACACATAACTCAGGATCCATAGAAGTAGTTCCGATATATGGTCTAACTTTTAAACTAAAGTGATTAACCAATTTTCTATTACCTTTACATAAAGAATAACCAAAATAAATATTTTTAGGTTGTTCTGTAGCTTTTTTGAGATGACCAATATTTTCCATAATAGCAATACTTAATTCTGGTTTTTTTAAATTAACATTACCAAGATAATCATATAATTTAAAATCTTTAAATTTGTCAAATCTTTCAATTTGTTCCGGTTGTTTATAATTTCTTCCAAAACATGTTACTTTTAATCTAAATGTTTTTCCTTTATGAATAGGAATTAATTCATCAGCTTTTGAATATACAATAGGAACTAATTCCTCATATGTTTTTGCTTCTCCCCAAATTTCATATACAGTTTTAATTAACACTGACCTTGAACATATTTTTTTAATATCATCAAGGCATTCAAATGTCGCATACATATAAACGTTATCAAGAGTTTTTGGGTCATATTCGCATTTCACTTGAAATAATCGAAGTAAACTACTAAATTCTCCAAACCTAAAATCAGGATGGCTTTCATAAAATCGTATTAATACTTTCATAAACAAATGACTCAACAACTATAGTTCTTTGTAATTAAAACAAGGGTTTTTTCTTCTTTTAAAATTTCATTTATGAATTGCTCATCTTGTTTTATTATTCTTTTATAACTATTTTTATTATTCATTTTACTATTTATATCTTATTCAAGTCCATTCATTCTTTCTATTTAAATACTTCTTCTGTTTTAACCTCATTTACTAACTTTGGTTATCATAAAATGGTTGGTATTTTGTTTAACCATTTATACTCTTTTGTATCATTAACTAAATTATTACCTAGTATAGAATCATGATTATAATTTTTAGATAATATCAGAAAATTTTCATTGAATTATCTATATAAGAGTCATCAGTTGTATTTTGGATAGAAATAACTTATAGCTATCTGATCATATCAAAAAAAAACACATCCTAAATTTTATTTCTACATTTTTTATTTTTACAAACTTAATTGGTAGATTCTTTTGTTAAATCTAGAATCTTATCTAATCTTTTGTTTTATTTTTATTATACTTAAGTAAAAAGTACTTTACTTATTCACTGAAACACTACCTATCTCAAAAATAATTTATTTTTCTTTTCTTGAATAACAATTATAAATTTGACGTACTAACAATCTTAAATTAATAGCATATTCTTCAAAAACTATTCAGTAAGTTAGTATTGTTCATAGTACTGTTTCTAATTAAACTAAAAGAATAAAATATTAATATACAAAATTATCTTTTTATCAATAAATGATTTAAAACAAGAATTTTTCTTGATTAAAACAATCAAAATTTATTGTTCTGAATTTCTAATTTTAATTAACATCTTTAATCAGTTAATCTTATTTTAAGTTATATTACCAGAAACTTACTTTTATTTAGTGAAATTTTTAAGACAATAATAAACTCATTGTTTATCTAATTCTTTTGATGAAGAAATTTTTTTATTTTTTTGCACTTGTAATAATTACAAAGACTTTAAGTCTTACAATAAATAAACCGCAGAATCACTGATTAAAAATTCTCTCAATATCATTAGAGACACAGTCTATTTCGAAATCTTTTTAATTCGATTTCTTTTTTATCGTCAAAGACAAATAAAACTAATAATGAATTAAATATGACTCATGTATGGATGCTTATAGAAATCTTCCCAGGATATTCGTTTATCTTCGTCATAACACATTAATTTTTTCACTAAGTCAATAAGTTCGGTATATCGACTATCTTCTCTAAAACGAAGAGGAAATTCTACTTCTTTTCTTTCTTTCATTTGACTATAAAATTCTTTTTTTGTTGTGGAAAATGGATATTGACATGTTGCAAGTCGATATAAACATACTCCAATTGAATATAAATCTGTTTTAGATGTATAAGGTTGTTTTCTAATGATTTGTGGTGATGTAAATAATGGAGTACCTTTAAAAGTAGCCATTATATCAGCGATAGCACGACCAAATCCAAAATCAGCAATTTTGACAATAGGATAAGGTTCATGTTTGACCAATAAGAAGTTCTCTAATTTGATATCACGGTGAATAAACCCTTTTTCAAAATGAAGGTAATGTTGAGATGCTGCTATTTGTTTAAATAAATTACTAACTAAATCAATTGGGAGATAGTCATGATGTTGTGCTGCATAATTACTAAGAAAAGTATCTAAATCTCCTCCATCACACAATTCCATTATTAAAAATGCCCTTGGGAAATCTAATTTTAAATTTGGTGCATTGAGTCTAAAAGCAAATGAATCTTGTGCAACAGTATAATTGAGAAATTTAACAATATTAGGATGATTACATAATCTCATAATGATTGCTTCTCTTTGAAGTGTTGAAACATTCTCTTTTCCACTTTCTTTAATTGCTACTATTTTTCCATCAATATCATGAGCTTGCATAACAATACCATATGACCCATTTCCTAGTATTGATTCAGCAGTATATTCTGATAATAAACAAACTGGTCCATTAACAAAATCAATACATTCTTTTGAAAATGGAAGTTGACTAATTTCAACACTACTTTTATTTTCTTTAAATGATTTAATGAAATCATTTGATAATGGTAATTGAATTAATGGTGAAATAATTGTTGCAATACTTTCCTTATAATTTGGTATTAAATCTTCATCCCCATTAGAAAGATATAAAACACCCAAAATAA